ATTTCGGATATAATTTTATTTCTTTATTTCTCTTCTTTCGCACATTAAAATTAATTCACTTTATTAACATTTAGTTTATCTTTATTTTAATCTTTACTTGAATTGGTATCGCTACTTTTTATTCACTCCGATCGCGCTTACGTAATTATAGTTACGCGGAATTATGTTATATTTATAACGGTAGCAGATCGAACTCGCAAACTCGAATTTATGGAGCACTCTGGTGCATTAACCTATCGTCGGTGCGTGACGATAGTTGTACATAATTATAGCTGTAACTGGTGCAACGGGTCCACTGGAGACCCCGGGCCCGATTGCGAAACCGCATAAATTATCTTCGTAAATTACACGACACGGTCGCGCCGCCGAACAAGATGGCGGCGACCGCAGGATCTTTTTTCCCCTCCTTTAACTTTCGGCGAAAGATAATTACATACTCTTATCTCACCGACGCACGTATCGGATATGATGCACGCGCGATTCGAACGTCTTTTCCACGGAAGACAACGGGGGAGGCGAGGGAGGGGGGGGAGCGTGTAGCGTTGGTAGCGTACTCGAGCGAAAGTCAAGCTCGAGGAAAATGTGCTACTAAAACCAGACTGGTAACTGCACTTTTTAAAACATTTCAAGAATGTATTTTTAACAGGTTTTTTAACGTTTTTTAACAGTTACACTGGATCAACGGAAAATTCCTTATTTTCTTTGATTGTCTATCGAGAGATATAAAGACAAAAATGACTCATCTCGGACGACGCATTATTTTAAAAACATCCTAATTTTGTAGGTTTTTTCGTTCGTTATTTTATTTGTTCGATAACACAATTTCCGCTCTCTCACACTCATTGTTTTCTTTTTTTCTTTTTCAGTTTTCGTGTCGATTCTCGACTTTTATCATGGCCGTTTGTTATGCAGCGCGGGGGAACCTGGCGTAAGTATCCAAAGCTGATTGAATTAAATTCTAAAAGAAAAGCTAACTATTCTCCCGTTTAAAATTGAATTCTTTTGAATTTGTGTCATCGAATTTTTTATATTGATTTTTCTCTCTGCTAAATTGTCAAATTTATCATTTTCAAGTATCTGGACTTCGACAATCTGCCGGAGACGAATTTCTCATGTCAAGGGAAGGTGATCGGCGGATATTACGCGGACGTCGAGGCGGGCTGTCAAATGTTTCACGTCTGCACCATCGGCCAGAAAGGTAGTTCTACATTATGAAGGCGGGATCCCCAAATACTGCACGAAAGTGACATAAGTTACTAGCATCTTTACACATTTGCGAGAGAAAAGGTGACTCCGAGAGTAACTTCTTCTCGCAAGATCTGTTGTATAAACGCGAATCTGAACTTTAGCCGGATTGTACCTCTCACCTCGATAACATCGATATCAGTCGTAACGTTTTGATCGCACCAAAAATAATGCCGACTAACACGATATCTATCACATTAATATATCACATCAATCAGTATCATTTTTTTATGTAATTAAAATATTAACAATTGTATCGATTAGACAGGAAACTGAAAAATCGAATAGATCGATGAAACATTTATCTTACAATTTGTTTCATTTTACCTGCATTTTTTTTTTTGAGAGGAAAATTTCGAATAAAAATTCCAATTAACATTAAGTTAAATTCTTAAGTTCGAATTCGCGCAACGAGAGGATCGACGAGCTCAAACCCTCGACTTAGGTCAGTAAACGTTCTTCGACGACCGTGACATTCTCGCCGTGAGCGATCTCCCGCGATCGGTTACAAAACTTTGATGGGTAGCCTTCGGCCCGTGGCTTTCGAAACGATCTACTTATCATTCGATACGTGTCTATCCTAAATAGGCTTGCGCTGCTATTAATTACCACTTCTAATTCTAACTCCGATCCGGATCTACGTCTGATAAATCGTCGACTCACGGCCCCGGATCCGAACCGCCGCGCCGGCCTCCGATTCTTTCGTCGCGCCACGTGAACGCTTGACATATAAAACGATTTGCATAATCGATTCTGCAAAATGGACTTTGTGGACTGGAGTGCGATGGACGCGATGCGGTAGGTTTCTCTGAGAGTTCGAAAAAGAATGGCGCGCGAATATCTCCGAAATAGATGTCCGAAGATAAATCATTGCGTTTTCTCTCTCTCTCTCTCTCTCTCTCTCTCTCTTTCTCTTTCTCGATTGAGATATGAGTGATCTCAACGTGAAAAATCGCGCTCGAAAATACATCCTTTTTAAAGACGGAAGTCAAGTCTACTGAATTTAACAGATATTACGCAGCGCGTGTATAAATAAAATATGCGCAATTTATTTGATTGATCGTTCTTGATTGAATTAAGTGACGTTTAATATTGAAAAACGATTAGTAATTAGGTGAATTCGAATCGCGATTTTAAAGCCATGACGAGATTGTTTAATGACTAGCACGTCCCATGAGTCCAGAGCATCCCCGAATAATGACCCTCTTCTTCACCGTGAGACTTGGTTTCAGACGAGATTATGGACATAAAATTCCTCTGTCTGAACGGGACCGTCTTCGATCAGGAAACCAGAGTCTGCGAGAGAGTTGACGAGGTGGACTGTAGCAAGAGCGAGCGATTCTACAATCTAAATCTGGAACTTTATGGCAATAATGCTGTGACACTCAGGTAATTATACGCAAACCACGCCCTTCTATTTTTCCGTAAAAATAAAATAAATAATTCTAGATAATTCTAAATAAAATTCTAAATAGTTCTAGAATAATTTCTAAATAAATTCAAATTTCTCGAAAGCATTTAGATAAATAAAGAATAAATCAATAATTCTTTAATCGTAATGTTAGTAAAATAGTTGTAATCATTTCGAAAAGGAATGCAGCTAAAAATAAAGAATTATATTATAAATTTAAAAGAGAAATAATTTTCTATTAATTAAATATCACAATAATTCCAATTCGAATTATTATTTTGCTATATTTAATATAATTTAAAGTAATTTAATGCGACTATAAGATTCAGTTTTTTTATGTACGTCGAAGAAAGATAGTAATTTACACGGTGTTTTAATGGATGTAAGAAAATGAGTTGTTAAAAAGAATTATAACACATAATTCCGATTTTCTGGAAAATTCATTAATGACAGCGGCACGGTGACTCGGTCGCTAATCTATTTTCCGGTTTTGCGTTGATGCAAATCGTTGCGAGCAGAAACTGACTATCGGCTGAAAGAAGTTGCACACTCTGATTGCTTCGCCGGTCATATACACGGTGCTTAATATGACTACAGTTCTCAATAGATTCAGACATTCACTTTACATTTTTACAAAGATCAAGAACACATTTCTTTTAATTTAATTTGTTTTGTATAAAACTTTATATAGATATAAATAGTGAAATTATCGCTAAACATTGTTAAAAATCTGTTGAATGTAAATAAATAAATAACAAAATTTTACTGTCTTCTTTCAAGAAAAAGATTTTTCTTTTTCAAAGATTAAATTTCGATAATTACTAAAATAAAAAATCAAAAGGAGAATTTTTTTTCAAAAAAACATCGATCTTAAATTCAACCTGAAAATTCTCACTTATCGTGTCTATCTGGACTGATGGTACACAAAACGAAAAAACACAAATTGAAAATATTTTTTGATAAAATAAATTTGCAATCGATTAAGTTTGCAATCGAATGGAATAGATATGATTAGGCACAATTCATATTTACATATTGATTATCAAAACAAGAAGAATTTTTAGTATATTTTACAAATCTGTTTTATCAATTGCAAACATTTTTATTATGTGTTTTTTTGTTTCTGACATTACAATGGCTGCAATGAATTAAAAGGAAAACCTTAAAATATCAATGAAAATTTAGAAATGAACCTGCCTGTGCAGGAATCGCGAGTACACCCCGTACATGAAGTAATGTCGAGTCGCCGCATTTCAGAAATTCTCGTTGGCATTTCGCAGATTGCTACATTTTTTCGCTTCAGTCCGTTTACGCAATATTCAAAGCAAGACTCCCAGAAATACGATCATGTAATGTTCGCGCGGTGAAAATGAAACGGTACAGTCGTATTCGGTATCTTATACTTGCGCGTTTCCAATTCCTACGTTCGTACATTTCGCGATGTATATTTTTACATGTAAACATACATACGTATATCTCAAGAATTCAACGAAAACTCGAAGCTGTTAGCATGTAAAAGATATGTATACGCATGTATGTACATCCATAAATATTTCTACGACTTTCCTTCGTTCGGCATCCCAGGAATGTTGATGTCCTCCCTCCCCCTTTCCCACCCTCTGAGATGCAGATAAAAATTATAACGATTAACTGTCACGACGAATGAAATTTATATGCCGTTCAACGAAACAGCTTAGTTATTTCTCTCTCTCTCTCTC